GATTAGTCCAGCGGCGATAAAATGCAGAGTGGGCTGGAAAGCAGCTACAAAATTCAATATGTTCATTAAAATATAAAAGCATTTTACAGCCGGCTTGCTAAGTTAATTTCGTATAATTTTACGGTTTAATCGGAATCGGAAGTGTTAACCTTTGAGAATTTATACTGTTACAGTTTAGACATTAATTTTAAATGGGATAAGAGCGATAATTGCGATATAACAAAAAAGATAAAAATTAAAACACACCTATTTCGCAAGCAATATAAAAGTTGGTGGAAAAGGTTAAAGTTAAATTGATATCTCCCAGGTTCCGCTGGTTTGCCACATCGTAGAAGTTTTTTAATCTGATAACCTCGCGTATTACTTTATATTTGTTGTATTGGACATTCCTGAGGAAAGAAAATCCGTTATGAGGCAATCGGTTCGTTGTACAATTGGCTGATGTATCAGCGGTTATCTTTAAGTATTTTTGACATCATACACAAAGCTGTTTCAGTATATGCCTCGAAATACCTCATACACTAGAACAATCAAATGAAATTTTATTATCCCGATATGGTCACATTTATGCAATACTACCAGCAGCTTTCATTAAGAATTCTAAATTACATTCTATAACATAAACGCTTCACTGCATTTGGAACTTATTAAGTAGCACAGTTGTCACTGAGTATTAAATACAAAAGTTGCAGGATTATAGCCCATTAGATGTTAAAGATATTCGACCTTGACATTTCGGATTTTGATCAGTCGTGATGAATTTCATCAAGAGTACTTTTAATTATAACATTTTGCTGTAAATTTGAATTTAGTTAGTCGAATAATTATTTCTTAACATTAATTATACAGTAGATATGTAAGTCATAGCATTATTGAATAGATAATAAAGATACTTTCAGAAGATTTATTACAAGCCGCTACTTCCAATTTTAAGTTTTGGGGGTTGGCATCAACATACTGAGAGCGTTGAGCATAGCGTAAACCTTTTACTCAATAGGACGTATTTTTGGAATCTAATATTGACTTATGACTCGTGATTTGTCCTAATATGTACAACACACTTTATGTTGTAAAATAGGAGAAAATCGCTATAGAATGACGCGTATGTGTTGAGGGAAGTAATGCATTTCCATCCTAATTCTACCTTTCTATTCTATTAGATTATCATCCCTACGACACTGGATGTAGTAATTAATTTAATACAAGAACATGCTAAGATGGCATATCACGCTATTAATACCAAATTAAAAAAAAATATCTCAATGATCAGGTATGAGGTAATAGTACCGTCAAGCAGGTGGATATTAAGTGAAAGAAAAAAGAACTCCCCATAATAATTTATTACATAGATTTTACAACCATATTTTTGTTTAGGTTAGGACAAAATTATATCGATAAATTGGTTTTTATGATACCGTCTGTTTTTACAAAAAAGTAAATAAGTTTTATTTTGTAGCCGCAATTGGCATTTAATCATCGTACAATATGCCGTGAAGAGCTGCTTTAGTCTTTTAGTTATGCCTAGAGTATAAAGACGAGAAAAATTTCAACAACTTAGCGAGTTTGATAGGGATGGAATAGTGGACTTGTATGACGCTGGTTGGTTCTTTAGAGAAGTAATCACCAGGCTGCACAGTACGGTGGTATTTTTTTGTCATGTATGGAATCAAGAGAGCCGTACATGAAGAGTTAGAGGTACCGCGCGTGTCAGAAGAGCGACCCCTAACCAAGATAGTCTCCCTAGACCTTTGGCTCTATGGGACCAATTCTCGTCCACAAGGTCAGTTGCGGATCAATGGTTTGGAGAGCATGGAAAGCCTGTCACAATGCGGATTGCTTTTTAACGAGTCAACAGTATTGGATTTGCTTAATACCGTCCCCAGTTTGTCCTACTTCTCCGAAGTGATCGACTGGCTTAATACAGAGAACGGCAGAACTGGGACTTCGAATGGAATAGCATTGTCTGTAGTGATACATCCAGGTTCTGTTTGGGGATGCATAGTGGCCGTGCACGGGTGAGAAGCCGACGTGGTGAAAGACGAGATTCTCAATTTTCTATGGAAACGCATGTGCACGACACTGTTGGAATTATGGTATGGTGGGCTATTGCTTATAGAGGAACAGGAACAGGAAGTAGATCATCTAATTAGGATGTATTTCTGAGAAAGCTTCAACCAATTATTAATCATTTACATTTTCCGAAACTGTATTTCACTGGATATCCTAATTTCTATGTGACTTAGAATAAGTAATGGTACCAGTCGTGTAGGTTGTATGTACGAGTAGATATTTTTCTATTAAGTGAAGCTGTTTCCATCAACTTACTGCTCGAGCAGCCTCCTATCAAGGCCGTAACTACATGTGATGCCAAAGAAACTGTTATCCAAAACGACATAAACTAAATACCGAACTGATAGCGGAAAGCCGTTGTTCACATATGTAATGTGCTGTCTATTTTTGATACAATACCTTACCATAGCTCAGAAGTAAATGATAATTTGAGCGATCTGTTTGCTTACAGCTATATATTTTATTTCAAATCCTTGGTTATTCTATATACAGAGACATATTCAAAAAATATTTTAAGATCAAGATACTTCGTAAGTGTGACCAAAAAGTAGCGTTGACAAAATATTGGAAATGTGGACATGTGCAAAATTGCGCATTTAGGTGACTAAGAAAATAGCAGAAGGTTTCGCAATTTAAAGTAATCTTGCATATAAACGGAAAAAGTGAATTATCCCAAAATTGTTTTAATTTTTTTTATGTCATTTGAGGTATGGTTTTGAAATAAGTTTTCTTTTCCTCCTATGGAGTATGACATAATTGGGATTTCACTATGATGTTTCGTCACTTGTCCTCAGTCATGAACTTTATTTTCTCTTATGGACGCCATATTGGATTCTTACACAGGTGAAGAGTTTTTTATTCTGATTCCAAAAAAATATAATACATGTACATTTTTATTGCCAAACTTTAGTTATTTTAAAAAACTAATGCTTCTTACAGTGTCTTAGCAATGACAGCTTATCAAATATTCATTCGATACATTGATAATTAAAGATTATTTCAGTCTTTGAGAAGCGTGTTTAAAATACATTCGAATAGTTTGCTCAATTTGAGCAAAACGAATCCTATCTGCATGACATCTCAGCCGAAGATTAATATATATTATTTAATGCAAGATGTGCACATCTTATTACATATTCTCAGTGTTTGATAGTTATACCTTTTTCAATCGTTTTATTACTACTGGTTGGGTGTCTTCTCTGGCAGTTGATAGAAAGGACACCCCGAAATTTCGTGGACAAAACGTGTTTATTTTATTTTGTTGACAAATGTGACATTTCGCGAAAACCCCTTTTTTGTTTTTTCTTCCATCTTACGACGATGATTCTTGTCTGACCGAGACGCTGCTGATGTTAGACATATTTCATGCAATACATGATTATAGTAAAGTAAGTATAGATTCATAGAAACAAAGAACTAACATACCGTGCCCCTTGAAAGGCAGGACCTTTGCCATGGTTAAGCTTACATTGTGTCAGGTCGTGTTCCGGGTTAGCTGTGAGCGCCTGACCGATCAAGAAGTGTCCAGGAGTAATCGCTTCAAGATCATTGGGATTGGACGAGATAGAAACGAGGGGTCTCGAATTTAAAATTGCCTTAACCTGAGCAGTCGAAGTGTAGAGCTCCTCGTACGTTAAATGCGTGCCTGTCAAAATTCGTTTTAAATGATGTTTACATGATTTAACGGCTGCTTCGTGCAAGCCGCCAAAATGGGGTGATCGTATAGTACATCTCCGAGTGGACTGTATAATTTTGTAAATTTTGGAATTCTATTATTTTTGCAAGGTTAGAAGCTCATTATTGCAGCCAACAAATGTTGTAGAGTTATCGCTGTAAATATGAGAACATATACCTCTGAAAGATACAAAACGCTTCAAAAGGCTCAAAAAACCATCACTTGTTAATTCTGTTATGACTTCGATATGGCAAACTTTGCTCATAAGACAAACAAAAATACAAATATAACCCGTGATGATTTTATTCGTGCGAGTTTTGCCATCCTTTATCTCAAAGGGACCAGCGTAGTCAACGGCAACTGATCCAAATAGTCTCGCGTGATTTGGACAGTTGTCGCATTAACGGGAAAATCATTTTCGGGTTTGCCTTAAAGCACGTCGCACATTTTCTTATATAAGATTTTACAATCTGCTTGCCATAAGGATGCCAATATCGTTGTCTTATGTGGGAAAGTGTATCGTGAAGACTAGAATGCAGAGTGCGTTTGTGTTCGACTTGAAAGATGTAATTCCTATGATGAACCTTGTCTGACCGCGACCTTGCCGCTGTTAGACATATTTCATACAATACATTATTATAGTAAACTACCTTTAAGTGATATAAAAAATCAGTATCTAGTACTTGATGTGATAAGGTAGGACCAACTCTAGAAAGACATTTGAAATCTTATAGTATGAATCCATGCCATGACATATACAATATCACATCATTATAATCGGAAATAGATACACTGATGTTTACGCGTGTTCAATTAAACTGAAGGAATTGCTTGGAGATGATAACTTGAAACAAATGACTATGTGATAATTTTGACCTACTTTGGATTTTATAATTATAGTTTTACAAAATCAATAAAAAAAAGTTGATGATTGAGGACATAAGACAAAACGCTATATTCAAATTCTAATTATGCCAGCTTGCGAAGGAGAAAAAATGGCAATGATAATGTGCAGTTTTCTTAGGTACTTAAATGCGCATTTTTGCCTCCTATTAACTCACGTCGTATCTATCCGCTATAGTCTTTATGAATACTAAAAGAACTTGTAAAGATCCACACATGACGCGTTTAAGCGCCACCATTAACCATTCTACTGATTCTTCTCAGTTTAATATATGAAGTTTCACTCATATTTTTTTTCAGTAATCACGGATCGGAAGTTGCTGGATAACGGCAGAATCTCTTTGCTACTCACCAGTCTATAGATCCTAGCATCCAGTATACTAAGGGGAAGTATGACACTGCGTCCAAAAATGCAATGTCTGGTCGTCTCTCCAATAGAAGAATGATAGGATTTAGCGACGTTTTCGATCGAAAATGAGCTCTTAATGGGATGATAAAGTTGTATATACCTGAAAGAAAGTTTTACTACATTGATATCAGGGTGGTTTACAAATGTTACTTTCTAACACCCATTGTATTATGGCACTTATGAACGACCAATATTTTTACTGCATTATGTAGATGCAGTAGACTATCCAAACACATTAGCAGCATAGCAGCTAGACTATGCAACATACGGTAATGTCTTTAGTGAACCAAAGCCAAATCTTTAGTTAATTAAAAAATGATGGATGTGTCTACCCTTGGCTCTGTTTCTCATAAGTTGCAACCAGGGATCTAGTACAACACTGCATTCAAACTTGTTAAAATTAGGTTAAACCGGCTGATATTTCGATGATACTAAAGTTGTTGTATGTGGATTAAAATAAGAAAAAACACAGGTACAAATCGCAGTATCGTCTTGAATATAATATACAAATACACCAGAAAGCGGTACCTAGCAGAGTTTTAAAAAATTTCGAATATATACGAAAATTTTTAAAGATATTTACAATAAAGAAAAATACTTCACCTTAGTAGGAATTCAAAAACAGCTAAATATTCACAGATCTACTTATGGAGCACACTCCATGTGTCATTTTTAAAGTTATTCCTTGTAATAAAGGTCATTTTTAAAATAAATGTAATAACTTAGAATATTTTTTTTGTGGAATAAGGTGAATAGTCGTATACAAAATTGCTTTCCACTATAGGTATGAACTTAAAGCTCAAGATCAACAAATAGCACCGCATAATAAAGTGACTTTGCTATCTTCGAATATTTGTCCTTCAAGATTGGACGTCTGAAAAAAATATTATTTAATTATCTTCACTCGCACCAACTTGTAGCTCAAATATATTTCAGATTATCAAATTTTAACAAAAAAGAATAATCTGAAAGCCCATATTCGTGTAGGTCAACGTTCCTTAGCACGTTTTGATAAGTGTTTCAATTGCTCTTTAATTCGCTGACCAAGATTATGTGCACCTTTATTTCTTGGGCATGCAATATTTTCGCAAAATTTTTTGGAAACCTATGCCTTACAGACAAACTTTCGGCCTTTTCTAGTCAAAGACTGAATGTGTATTTTTGGACCGAATATGGGCGAAGCTGATATCGAAGCTCGGCCGAACCATAATAATAAGAAAAGTTCCTTTAAATATGCAAGACCTGATATGTCCCCTTACCGAGATGCATTTGTGTTTAAGTTAAGGTTTTTAAATCGAGAACAAACCTCCAAATCGTATGAAGGTATTGACTGAAGTTATGTATAGGTTTCACGGACACCTTAACCAATACGTTAGCAAATATTTCCTCAGGAGAAAAAATATCAACTTCGTCACTGACCTTTTTGAAACATGTACTGCATTTTTAAATAATTTTACGTGAATGGCCTCTTTTGAAAAAACAATGTGTGGCTTTTGGATAAAAATAGGTTTGAAGAGTTAGTTTTAAAAACTGTACAAAAATGGAAAGTAGTTTTAAGGGAAATCTGTAAAAGCTATTTAAAAATGAATTTCGCACCCAGTTTGGTTTTCAATGGGTGCATGTTGCTAAGACATACCTGTGTTCTTTTGAACGAAGCGACCTATGGGATATCAATCTTCCCATTAGAAGACCCGTATATAGTAAAGTATGGGATATCCCATGAGAAAAACTGTTTGCTGTTGCTGATCTTATATACATCTTAACAGTAAAAAAATGGTATCAATTAAGTTGACTTTGTACTTTTCACTCAATCAATTAGATTATGTTCGGTTTATTAAAAAAACATATGCGTTACGAGCGAAGTCACCGGTTATGGAGGGAGGCCAATCCTGAATTGTGGGCGAGTATGTTGGCTGGTCCAGCGACTCGGTCAGCCAGACTAGATAGTCAAAATCGTGCTGTCATAAAGCAAACTCTGTTGGTAGTGGTTCTAATTCAAGCGGGACTAATTTATAAACAAGCGTATTCTAATCATAATAATGACGTGATTGTTAAGGCCTGGTTCTAGATTTCTTGAATTAGTCCGGGAGGCTTGTTCTGATTTTGGTCTTTTACATGTAATGGATTTAAATATGGAGTAATAATACGCTTGATGTTCTAAAAGTCGTAAAACCACAAACAGAACATAACAAGCCAATAACTTGCAGTGGTGTAGGAATTCTCTATACGGTGAAGGGACAATCCTAGGACCTATTTATAAAAAACATTTCCGGATGTACTGTATGTTTTAAAAATATTCATAATTGATAAATGCATAATTACCATTCGAAGCATAATCAGCAGCCAGGATGATAGTCTTGTTCTGCCACTGGTATTCCCTGGCGTTCCTGTAGGAACAATGCTCGCATACTTGAGCAAGCTGGAGACAGCAGAGAGGTTTTTTCTCTTTTAACAGGTAGCAGAGTGTTGGCGAAACTCCAATGTAGGGTGACACGGGAGGGAAGCCCTTCACTATCCTGTTTTGAAAGGGGACATTGCTTTGGGTTCTGTTATTACCATTGGATGCTGATATTACTTAATTAGGTATATTCATTATAAATCGTTTGATATCCGTCGAGGAATTCGTTCGGGAGATGGCATATAATTTTTGAAACGCTAGTTTCATGTTAAAAATGTTAATTACTATATATATCATACAACAACTATTGATGATGAAATCGGAAGGTAATTCATAAATAGTTGAATGAAGCTGATTTTCCACTGTTAAATAGATACAAAGTTTGATTAGTTTTCCCTATGGTGGAAGTTATACAAGACTAGGTTCTCATGACTGATGATATTCGATTAGAGAAGCTATAGAAAATCAAGGTTGCATAATATTTTCATTTACAGATATAGTAAAGACGAATTACGGTTTGAGGTCGACGTTGTTCTGACGTAGTTGAAGTTTATATTGGATGTGCTTCAAGATACCGTGTATACCATGAATATCGATATGCGCCCGTTTGACGAGGGCCGGGAACTGGTAAAAAAATTGTATTGAGAAAAATCGCGATTATTGTAGTTTTTTCTCTCTCATCCTGTAATGCCATCATAGCAAAGGTTAACAAGACTTTTTTACTCATTTGAAATTGACACATATGTGCAATATACGTATTTATGATGATATGTGAAATGAACACGGTGAATTAACAATGAATACATATAAGTGGACGAGAATGCAAACAAAAGTTTGATCTTTTTTCGGTCGTCTGAATTGTCGTAGTTGCTTGTAATTTTAGATTTGTGCTCCCTACTATGTTTTTATAATAAAATTTGCAGTTAGATCCATCGGATAAATTTTGAAGACATTTTTTTAATAAGAATCCAGGAACAGTGATCATCCTGCGTTTTAGTCTGGGAGAGAAATACTCTCCATGTACGTTAGGATCACCAATGAATGTATGATTTCGATAGTCAAAATCGATCATAATGCCTTGAAGAATTATGATAGAAAAAAGCAGAACATTGCAAGCATTTGTTTCGAGACAACATACTTTGCAAGATAGCGGGAAGTTATTCACTGAAAACATTTTTGCAACTTTATGAGTCAGATGTTACTATTGTTCACTTTAACAACACAATAAGAAACACATGTTTGGAATTACAAACAACTATGGCGATTCAAGTGACAACAAAAAAACTTTGCATTTTCGGTTTTTTTACCCCTAAGCAGCCAGGACATTGCGGCTGCTATGAGGATCCCAAAGAAATGTTGTTAATCCGACTTTTGAACTGCCTAAGGTTAGTAGAATTAGTAGTTAGTAGACTGAGGTCAAGTGTAGAAAAGTACATCTTAGCCTCAGTAGCTGCCGCTATTGACGAGATGTGTTTGTGCCAGATCAAGTTCTCGGTGATCTGGACTCCGACCAGCCGAGATGAATGGCTCTTTGAGTGTTAGGACGCTTTCTGTTCGTCAAGGTACATTACTGAGTTTTGGAAGCATTGCACTGTGTTGCATACCCAAGCAGTGATAATCTCCAGGTCTCTTGTCAGAGAGGAAGTCGCTTCTAGTCTTATTTTTTTTTCAGCTCACCGGCAGAGATCGGCTTGTCGCTCTGAATCCGTGCATGTAGAGTGCTGTCATCAGCAAGGCTATGAATTGGATTGATCGTAGAGGTAAGGAGGTCGTTGATATGTAACAGGAACAGTGTCAGACCCAAGATCGATTCCTGGGGAACATCCTCACTGACGTTGTGGGATGAAGAGAAGAACCCTTCAATTCCAGAAAGAAAGTTAGCCACCCATCTGCAAAGCTTCTCTGGGAGGCCAGAGGATGGAAGCTTGCATAAGAGGGCAGCGTGCCACAGCTGATCGAACTGATCGAACCCTTTTGTGATATCAAGAGCAACGACATGAGCATCACCATACGACTGGATGAGTTTACTCAATTGCGTAACGTACGCTAGGAGGTCCTCTGTGGATCCCTGGTACCGGAAACCATATTGCCTGTCGCTAATCAAGCCGTGACGTTCAAGGTAGTCCAGAAGCTTGCGATTTATGCACCTCTCCATCACCTTACTTACAAAAGAAAGCAGAGCCATAGGCCTGCAGTTAAAACTGTCGGTCTTATATCCCTTTTTGGGATGTGTTGGACATGAACAAATTGTCAGTTTTCTGGGAACGTGCCGCTGTACACCTCTTCAACACAATAGCAGGAATCAAGTCCGGAAAAGAAGCTTTGTTGCTGTCGAGTGGTCTTATGCCTGAATGTTACTTTCCCATTTAATTGTCGGTACTAGGGCGTTTGGAGAACGTCCATGGTGGAGTTAGTAGCAAAGATTTAGGCAAGCGCTTCCGCCTTAGCCTTTTGGTCGGTTACAATCATTCCATCCTGACACGCAAGTGGTGGAAGGCTACTGTGTGAGAAGTTCTTTTCAATCTGCTTGGCCAGCGTCCAGAAAGACCGACTGCCATTGCCCTGCGACATTACCCTTTTGTCTAGCTTCAGGAAAGGTAGAGAAGCCCCTTACACTCGGCATGTCCGTAATGCCAAATTTTGTGGCCTGGGCGAGTTTCTGCTGCCACAGCCTAACGTCCACAACACCGTGGCCTGAGTTACTCAGGATAGACAGGACAGCTGTGCTGTAAGGGACAGGACGCGTGGTCACAAAGAGGTCTAGCAGGTTACTGGCATGTGACGAAATGCGAGGAAAAAGTGTGGCCCGTCACAAGATGGGTCAGTCCTTGGGTAATACCGTACGCTTCAACTGTATGACCTGCTGAATCGGATTTGTTTGAGCCCAACTAGAGCTCATTATGGGCATTGAAATCACCAAGAAGAACTAGGGGTGATTGATGTTCAGGAAGTCGGTCTTCAAGTAGTGCATCTCAGTTATGGTGCAAGGGAGAGCGATAAAGGCAGCAAATAAATTTGGATAATGTTTTGGAGTTGAGGCCGGTCTGATTCCAAAGAAACGTCTCCGGAGCTCGATAGACTGCTGCGGTCAAAACTCCCCCGTTCTTTCTCAGATTCAAGTGCAGCTCGAATTAGGTTATAGTAAGACGATTAATAGGTGCAGAAGATTAAGACACCTTAAAAAAAGCTAGCGAATGGTACCGCCTCGATCGACTCTCCCTTGTCCACCACCTTCTTTTTGCATGATAACAATGTTAAATAGACTTGAAGCGGCCCGTTGGCGGACTGGTAAACTGAATACAACAACTACCAGAACAAGCATTTGCCACCGCCCCGCTCAGTGGGGTGTACATTTTTATCTATTATAGATTCAATATGACAACTCCAGAGGACATGATAATTAAATGCGTAGGTCATATATGACTGTTCAGAATGAGGCGATAGTCTTCAAGAAATATCATAAAATGTTAAGAGGAAAACGCCAACATTTTACATTGTTAACCACTTTCCGCTTCTCATCAGACTTACGCATATCGATATTCTTGTAGTACACGTTGTTCTAAAACACCTTTGTTAGAGACTTACTCAGATAACATCCACTTGTGACGTCTTTTACCCTTAATCCGCCTTGAGTAATAAAACAAAGAGATCGTCCAACATCAGTTGTACTCTGAAAAAACTAGTAACACCCTTGCCATGTTTTGAATATTGTATCATACAAATCTTGCTCTTTAATGAGCATTCAACATACACGAAACAACAAACTCCAAGTTTGATAGCACTACCAACTTACTTAAAAAAATCCTTACGTCATTCTTGAGATTTTAAATGGCCTGGCTTGTTTTTTCATTCTCGTTAAGTGATAACATTTCTCTATTACTTGAATCAACCATTTATTTACAGGCTTATTAAAACCATTCAACGTTGATTGCACTTCCACCATATATTTAAAACATGTATTTTTGGATAAAGCTCCGTCCCAGCTAGCAACAATTTTATAGAAATGTAAAAATTCTTAGGACATGCTCACAAACTAACATATTTTTAATTCCTAGATGAATAATTACTATTATGCTATTATTATGGCACAAACGTTTAAAAGCAATATGAATTTCCTAATATTGCAGAGGTATCTTAACTGTAAATAGAAGCTACGATGATCGTTTTGAGGCTGTTGAATATACTGAATCTTGAAACCTAAAATTATTGCTTCTAGACTTTGCATAACTGGTCGCAATATCTATTTTATTTAGCTATCACACATTGTATGCTTCAACTATTTGAAATTATGTATGTAATGTACTTTCGGTAGAATTTTCAAAATTGTACGGTAATATATTTGATAGAAGTGGAAAATTACCTATGCATGCTATATGCCTGAGCTATAAATGCTTCAGCAATTACTAAGCAAGAATGGGACAAGGAGAAAAATGCAGGGTAGGATTAGATAATATTCAACACAAAAGCAGTTAATGACGTTAAACCTAAAAAAATGCATAAAGAAAAATATTTAACTTTACCTTACTAGACTAAATGACATCCTTGAAGATGAATTTACTTATCCTTAATGTTTATTATAATTTGAATATCACTTGCAAGTACAGAATATATTGAAAAATTCATGCTTCGACGTCGATTAAATGAGTATACAATTAATAACCAGATGACACATCACAATGGCGATTCTCCGAAATACTATTTAAGAATATAGGGTAAGGGTAAACGTATGATAGTGACTACACATTAAACATTTTTTTATACATATAAGACTCAATGCAATGACTCAGGGTACGATACGTATGGCAATGTCAACAGCAATACATGTTCAAAAATCGATTTCTGCTGCTGGTCTTTTCGGCATAATATTAAAATCGTACATATATAAGTCCAAACGGTTTAGAAACCCAAATATGCGTCTTGTGATCTCAAAATCCTAAAATCTGACACTCTTGAATTCGATATGCATGATCCAAACTAGTTATAGGTTTTATTTTCTAAGTTTCATATATTTATTGATATATACTTTTTCTTTTATATTAGAGAGTCTTTAGTGCTCTTGTTTTGCTGCTTCATTATGATCTTTCTTATATCGATTTTGCGCAATAGTAGGACAAACCT